CTATGCTTCGTATGCTTCGTATGCTTCGGCCGCGCGCGGAGTGACTGCCGTACACGNCTTCCTACAGCGCCGTTCTTCGCTTTTAAGCTTTGACGATCTCGCTTTGACGATTCCCTTTGTCACTGTGCCGATATACTTTCGAGTTTTTTGCTCTTTCTTTTCGCTTCTTTCGCCTTCTCCGCACTTTAGCGCATAATTCGATGCGCGCTTCATATGAATGCCGTACGCGCTTTATACAGCACGATTCACACAGCTCTAAATGCGCAATTCGATGCACAATTCAATGTACAATTAGCCGCGGAATTCAACGCGCGCTTTAGCGCATAATTTGATGCGCGCTTCAAAACGCGCTTCCGCGTCGGAATGAATGCCGTACACGCTTCGTACAGCGATTCGCATAGCTCTAAACGCGCAATTTGACATGCAATTCAACGTACAATCAGCCGCGGGATTCAACGCGCGCTTTGTTGCACAATTCGATGCGCGCTTCAAAACGCGCTTCCGCGTCGGAATGAATGCCGTACGCGCTTCATACAGCACGATTCACACAGCTCTAAATGCGCAATTCGATGCACAGTTCAATGTACAATTAGCCGCGGAATTCAACGCGCGCTTTACCGCATTATTTGATGCACGCCTCAAAACGCGCTTCCGCGTGGGAATGAATGCCGTACACGCTTCATACAGCGCGATTCGCATAGCTCTAATCGCGCAATTCGACATGCAATTCAACGTACAATCAGCCGCGGGATTCAACGCGCGCTTTGTTGCACAATTCGATGCGCGCTTCAAAACACGCTTCCCCGTCGGAATGAATGCCGTACGCGCTTCATACAGCGCGATTCGCACAGCTCTAAACACGCAATTCGACGCGCAATTCAAAGTACAATTAGCCGCGGAATTCAACGCGCACTTTAGCGCATAATTCGATGCGCACTTCATGTGAATGCCGTACGCGCTTCATACAGCACGATTCACACAGCTCTAAATGCGCATTTCGATGCACAATTCAATGTACAATTAGCCGCGGAATTCAACGCGCGCTTTAGCGCATAATTTGATGCGCGTTTCAAAACGCGATTCCGCGTCGGAATGAATGCCGTACACGCTTCATACAGCGCGATTCGCATAGCTCTAAACGCGCAATTCGACATGCAATTCAACGTACAATCAGCCGCGGGATTCAACGCGCGCTTTGTGCAACGGACCCACCGAAAAACACCCATGCCCACACGACAGCACGACCCAGGGGACGCCTCACAGCCCCGAAGCCAAATCCATACGATAGAAACCACTATCGCAATATGTACCCCATGACCAACGCGGCCGTACGGCATAGCATAGCGCGTACGGCATAGCGTAGCATAGCATAGCGCGTACGGCATAGCGTAGCATAGCATAGCGCGTACGGCATAGCGTAGCATAGCATAGCGCGTACGGCATAGCGTAGCATAGCATAGCGCGTACGGCATAGCGTAGCATAGCATAGCGCGTACGGCATAGCGTAGCATAGCGTAGCGCGTACGGCATAGCATAGCGCGTACGGCATAGCATAGCGCGTACGGCATAGCATAGCGCGTACGGCATAGCATAGCGCGTACGGCATAGCGCAGCATAGCATAGCGTGTACGGCGTAGCATAGCATAGCATAGCGCGTACGGCATAGCATAGCGCGTACAGTATAGCGTAGCATAGCATAGCGCGTACGGCATAGCATAGCGCGTACGGCATAGCGTAGCATAGCATAGCGCGTACGGCATAACGTAGCATAGCATAGCGCGTACGGCATAGCATAGCGCGTACGGCATAGCGTGGCATAGCATAGCGCGTACGGCATAGCATAGCGCGTACGGCATAGCATAGCGCGTACGGCATAGTGTAGCATAGCATAGCGCGTACGGCATAGCATAGCGCGTACGGCATAGTGTAGCGTAGCATAGCGCGTACGGCATAGCATAGCGCGTACGGCAGCGCGTACGGCATAGCATAGCGCGTACGGCATAGCGTAGCATAGCATAGCATAGCGCGTACGGCTAAATTTGCGTGCTAGGCTCCGCAAGCTTAATTTTCTTCCGCCGGTGCGTAACACTGCACAGCACGCAGCTGCACGTGCCGACCCGCAGGTGACGGCACAGCAGCGGCTGCATGACACTGCACAGTGTACATGTACACGCTATGACATACACGCCGTACACGTCGTATGCGCTATGCCGTACGCGCTGTGCTGTGCCGTACGCCCTTAAGCGCCGTGCAACGCACGCAGCGACGACGGAGCTAC